CCCCAAAACCCCAAAACCCCAAAACCCCAAAACCCCATGGGATAAATATAAACCTGAACGATATTATGGTATAATAAATATGACAAATCAGGATAGTGAATACGAAGATTTCCAGAAAGACTACCAAGAATCCAACTGGCTGTCAGGTAAGAGATTTTTCTGTAATAATTTGAAGCTGAATAAACCTTTTCATCCCATTTTACTAACCTTCTGTAAATTTACATTTGGTGTAAGCCTTGGTCACATTATTAATTAATAAGGGCGGAATGGTTAAGGAATACTTTGGGAATGGCTTATAAACAATTAATCACTTCACCAAAACTTAGGGAAATCACCCTGTAACCAGTAAAAGCAAGATCTTTAAGTTAACTTGAACTATGCCTTTAATTATTTTTAATAGGGTTGTTTTATGGATGGGCTACAAAGTTAGTGATGCATGTATATCAAAGAAAGTCTCTGGACAGACTTGAGCAATGAATACAAATGGAAGAAAAAGACTGTTCAAAAACATTATGAGATCGTATCGAAGGAAACCTTGAAGACATGCTAAAGAATCCTCAGTTTGATTACAAATGGGGCATTATCCGTCTAGTATTCAAAACTCTAAAATTTGACGTTTTCAGGACTATTTCTTATGGAATTGTAGCTGAGGTACTCCAGGTGATAAATTTATTTATCATTTCGTTTTACATAAAATGGATCCAGAACGAGGATAGTGCAGCTTGGATAGGATTTGCATTAAGCTTTGCTATAGCCATCATCACTGCAGTTGCATTGACTATAAGGCACAGATTCTCATTCTATGCCTCATTGACTGGGATTAATATGAGGAAATCCATTACTGCCTTGCTATTTAAGAAAATTCTCAAATTTAATCAGACATCTTTATCAAAAGCTTCCAGTGGAAAAATATAGTGACTATAGTAAGTGGAGAGTTACAAGTGATAGAGCATGGCTTGGTCATGGCTCCATACATCATAATTGCACCGATTATCACTATACTGTCATTCTCCTTGATAGCTATCGATTTTGGAGAAGCTGCTGCCATAGGGTTTTGTATGTTTATTCTCATTATTTTATGCCAGGCAATCATTTCCAAAGCAACCGTGAAATGGAAATACTGGGAAGGAGTATACTCTGATAAACGTATTAAGGTTATTTCTGATATTGTCACAGGGATCAGGACTATCAAATGATATGCCTGGGAAATACCTTTTGAAAAACTAGTATCTAAATGGAGAAGAAGCCAACTAGCGATGCTGATACGAAGTCATACAGTAAATGCAATTGGTTCAGGAATATTCATGAACGGAGGTTATGTAATTGCTTTCGCCATCTTTTCATACCACTGGGCGATGGGAAGGGAGTTTTCTTATGAAAGATCTCTTTCTGCTATAGCTTTATTAAGTTACTTATCCCTTACGGCAATATTTTTCACCTATAATGCTATTTCAAACTTTGCTACTTTTATCGCTATAATGTCCAGAGTAGGTGAAATACTACAAATGGAGGAGTATGACAGCCAAATTTCTCACAATGAGGAACCCCTTTCTCCTGGAGTAAGAGTTCAAATACGGAATGTATCTTCCTCAGAGGGATCTAGCCTTCCCAAGATTAAAAATTTTAATGCTGGAGAAAATGGGTCTGACAAATATTACCCAACTGTAAGTGAAAGCAGCGGAAGTTTTCATTCAAAATGTTTAAACCTAACTGCGACGGACAACCAACTTGTTTGCATTGTTGGCGCTGTAGGCTCTGGTAAAACTCACCTGTTGCTCTCCTTAATGAAGGAACTCAGGACTGAAGGAGTACATGTTACTACAACCGGTAGTATTGCTTATGTTGAGCAAGAGCCATTTATAATTTCAGGATCTATTAAAGATAACATTCTTATGGGCGACCACTATGACCCTGATGAATTTTCAAAAGTCCTTCAAGTATGCTGACTCGACCAAGATATTGCCAACATGGAGGATGGCATTGATACTGAGATAGGCGACCGTGGAGTCACCATTAGTGGAGGCCAAAAGGCAAGGATTAGCCTTGCCAGAGCAGTCTACTCAGATGCTGATATTTACTTGCTAGATGATCCATTAAGTGCAGTTGATCCTGAAGTTGCTGTGAAAATCTTCCAGAGGTGAATAAACGGCTTTCTTCAGGATAAGTGAAGATTTTTGGTTACCCATCAAGTACAACATTTGAAAGAAGAAAAGGACATTTGAGTTATCGAAAATAAATATATAAAATATCGGGGATCGTATGACCAACTTAGAGAACAAGGGATAGACTTTGATTTCATCTTAAACGAATATGAAAATAATGAGTCTCTTGAAGATGAAGATTTTGCTAGTATTCTGAACAACACTAATGTAATTGATTCCCAGAGGCATGACCAGCGCGAGTTATTCAAAAATATCCGTCATGACTCTTTCCCTAATTCCGGGAATAATCGACCATCTATCGGAAATATTAGAACTTCAGAAGGCTGCGAAATAAGAGTTGACCAGTCTGTTGAGCAACATACTCCTGATGGAATGGAATCAGCTGATAACCTCAATAGCGGTTGCTCCAATATCTATGAAGACGAAGTAGCTAAAGGTAAGCTTTTAGATTTAATTAACCTATACTTCCGAATTTCTTATAACATATTGTTTTGAGAAATTAAAATTTATCAAAAAATTAAATTTATGAAAATTGGGCAAACTCGCAATACGTAATTTCTGAAAATCTTCTGATTTTATTTTCTTCCTAGACACGACACAACGTAAAGGAATCTTTCAGAAAGAAGAGAAGGAGCAAGGCAAGGTGAGAATCATAGACTTCTTCAAATTTGTGCAGAACAAATTTGCAATATGAAGCCTTGTCCTTAGCATATTTCTTTCGATAATCTGAGCTTGCCTTTTCATCTCTGTTAGCATCACAGTGTCGGAATGGACAAGTGATGATAATAATGATAAATCGAAATGGCACATGCTTTTTATGTCCTCAGTCTCCTTATACGTCTTCGTCAGTTTTTGAAGATGTCTGATGGTCTCAGCCACCTGCTTGAGCTCGTCTCAAAGAATTCACTCAAAAATGGTTTGGAAGCTACTTAGAGCGAAAGTTATGACTTTTGATAGTACTCCTATTGGAGCTATCTTGACCAGATTTTCAAAGGATTTAGGAGTCACCGACTTTTTACTTCCCCAAATGGCGAATCATTCATTAATCACCATGATGAAGGTAGGAATCCTTATAACCTTCATCGTTCTGGTGATCCCTTGGAACTTGCTAGTACTGATCCTTGTCCTAATTCCGATGTACTTCATTCGGAAGTGGTCAATAATCGCTCAAAATGATGCTCAGAGATTTGAGTCTATGAGTAAAGGACCTTTGAACACGAGGTTTTCATCAGCTCTTGATGGAATCACTACCATCAGAGCTTACAAGAGGACCCAGTACTACACTGACAAATTCATTAAGGATTGAGATCTGAATGCTAATGCTAAGTTTACCTTACAAGGCATCAAAAGATGGGCAGGTTCTAGAATTGATCTCTGAGCATGAGCCTTTGTTGCAGGAAATTTATTACTGGTTACAATCCTAGTAGCCTTCTTTGAGGTTTTTGATAAGAAACTTGCAGCGCTTACTGTCCAGTTCTCACTAGAGTTCTCATTTACAGCCAATGTAGCGATTAGGTTTTATGGCGAAGTAGAAAATATGTTGACGAGCTCTCAAAGAATGATGGAATATGCAAATCTTGAATCTGAAGATGAACTAACAAAGCCAAATGACCCAGTAAACTTTCCTGAGACTGCAGAAATAAATTTTAGTAATGTCCACATGAGATACCAACCACATTTGCCTAAGGTGCTGAAGGGTCTATCTTATTATGTGAAAGAGGGACAAAAGATAGGAATAATTGGAAGAACTGGATCTGGTAAAAGTTCAATTTTACAGACAATCTTTAGACTTGTTGAAACCGAACCAGGCTCACAAATCATTATTGGAGGTGAAGATATCAAAGATATTGGACTCCATTGCCTTCGTAACGCAATTTCTTTCATCCCTCAGTCTCCTTTCTTAATTTCATCTACAATCAGAGCCAACCTTGATCCTTTCGAAGTGTACTCTGATGAGAAGGTCTGGAGGGTTCTTGAAGAAGTCCAACTCAAAAACTATGTTCAAAGTTTGAATGATGGGCTGGCTACAGAAGTTACAGACCAGAATATATTCTCTGTTGGCCAGAAACAGCTGATTTGTTTGGCCAGAGCCATTCTTCGTAACACCAAGATCTTAGTGCTGGATGAAGCAACAGCCAACGTAGACATTGAGACAGACTCACTAATCCAGAGAGCAATCAGAGAGAAGTTCAAAGACTGCACAGTACTAACAATCGCCCACAGAATAGCCACAATCAGTGACTCAGATCAAATCCTTGTTATGAATGACGGAAAAGTACTAAAAGAGGGAAGTCCAGACGAAGTGTCTGCCCTGCTGCATAAATAAACTATCTCATATTATAATCCTATAATATTTTAATGCTTCGGGGTTTTGGGGTTTTGGGGTTTTGGGGTTTTGGGG